TTGGGTTCTAGGAGCATTGGCCAATCTACAGCATCCACAGGATTGTTGTTAAGAAGTTGGGAGGTCTCAGCCGCCAGGGCCGGTTCATGGTTTTTGGGCCTTCTCTAATCTCGGAATTTGGGGGCCATGTCGGAAGTGAACCCGAAATCCTCAACCCCAAATTCCCAAAACTCTTGAACTCGAAACGCCGGTAGATTTGGGTTTGGGGGTCCAGGAGACACAACTCAACTCTCGACCCATTTGGGATCAGGGAAGTTCAGGGTTTACGCTTCAGGCTGCAAGTTGGTGCTTGAATGGTGCTCGGTTTTAGGATAGAGGGCATAAAGTTTAGGAGCCGCCCTCAACACCAGGGTCAGCATATTCCTTTCGATCTCACATAAACCTCATGGCTTAGGCTTGCCATGGCTTGCCCTGAACCCTAAAACTTAGGACTTGAACGTGTCTGTAAGCCCAGGGCCGGTCCAGGCTGCCCACCAGGCATCCACGTCCGGCCACGGGCACACGCGACGGTTCTGACGGAGTTCTGGCTTATCAGTTTCGGGATTTTGCTGGAAAGCGGGTTCAGTTTTGGGCTTAGGGAAGATAAGGTCAAGTGGCAGCTGATGCTCACTCTGTTGACACATATCCTTATGACTCTTGGTGACCCTTATAGCTACCGTACGTGCGCAACACCAACTCCCAAGCCCTAATCACAGACCGCCTGGCATCAGCAAAGACTTTCCTGGTGGATGACCCCGGCAGTTCTCAGTTCAGAGGCAGAACTGCAGCCTCAAGAAGGCCCCTCGAAACACCCTGGAGACGACCCTCGGGCTACGTTACGCACTTCCCGATTCCAGCCTCTGGCGCCATGGCTCGTGTGTTGAATTGTTGCAATTGGCAGCAGTGGGCAATGTTGCTTGGCCAGCAAGACCGAGAGTTCTGGGAGAGCTGCCACGCAATGCACTAAAGATAAGGAGGCCTGACAGTCGATGGGAACCTGACTTGCTGTAAACGTAAATCTTTGGGGGTGGCGGAAGCTCGCACCGCGAATCATGCGGCTGCAAAGATCGCTTGAGCAAGATGTTCGCAAGGCAGGCTCCAAGAGAGGATCACGCTCTAGCTTGTATGCCACGGCACAGCCTTCTACACTGGATGTTCATTGGCAATGGCACTTACTGGTCAATGCTACCATACCTGTAACTTACTACGCTTGGTCGTCGAGCGTTGTAAGGGCAGTGGACCTGGCTCCAGTTTTTGCGTTGGAGGCTCGAGGTGAAACCAACTTAATGACGCACTCCGACAGCCTCATATGGACAATGGGCAGATGTGGGTACTGCACAGCGGCAGAAAGAGTCTGTTGACAAAAACGCTGCCAAAAGTGAAAGGCTCACCTGGCTATGTTCCCACAGGCGCCCTGCTGCCGGAGCAGAACTTTCTTCAAATAGGTGCCAGACATCTCCGAAAGAGGACTGCAGCAAGCTCTTCAAGAACTCTTCAACCCACAGAACAATGCAGCCATCATGCACTATCAGGCCGGAGAGTCTGGAAAATTACACAATTTGGGGGAGAACTCGAAGCAGAATCCGGTCGGTCGCACATTGCCCTCAGAAATGGACGCGAGAGATGTGGCTCTGAATAGGCTCCTGCAGACTCGCAGCAGTGCAGCCCCCTATCCTGCCATCCTGCGTCCATGTATGGCATA